ATAAAAAACATTTTTCAGTCTCGAGCTTGTTGGGGTCTTTCTTGAGAAAGCATTTGTAATTATTTTGAGAAGAGAAATAACCCATAGCTTTTAAAACACTTTGGTAGGTGACCTGTTCCTTCAAATATTGAACATACTTACAGTTCTGGTTGCTAACATTTAAGGTTTTCATCTATAAAGTCTTTCTATAATTATTTAAACATTAATATTGATTTTATTTATAAAATTCCTTAAAGAATCAAACTAAACTACTACCTAATGTTTTTTTTCCATTTACCATCCATTTTCACTTAATATTAACAGACTGTCATGACATAATTTCAGGATATTTACAAAATTTGGCGTTTTTTTCCTTAGTTGTTAACAAATGATCTGCTCTTACGAAATTTCCGGCGATGGCGATTCAATTTTTAGAGGTTTGGTTTCAATGTCACTTTATTAAATATCAAAATAGGTAATCGTTGTTGCACTTCACATAATAGTAACTACTAATATTTGGTTTTTGAGTTGTTCTTTTTAACACCGTGTCCGAAAATTAATTTTTCTGTGACTCTTCAGAACGTGTTGTATGCTCTCAATGTTGTCCATATGTGTTGTGTTTAGTGCAATGTCAGTGTCTATTTTGCTATTTGTACTCCTCATCAATGTTTCGCATCCTTATGTTACTTCGCATATTAATTATATTTCCTCTTGAAAGGAAGTCTGAATTGAATTTAATATGCCTTTTAGCCCAGTGATCCCCTTGTACAAAGACGTACACTTGGAAACGACAGTACACTCACTGTTATCTTTCCGTTGGACCTCTCATATTGTTTTCTTTTTCTCCCCGTCCCCTCTCCGTTTCTTTCCATGTCCATCCCAATGGCACAGTCAACCTTTCTCTTCCATCATATGCCGTCTTTTGATCGTCGATCTTTGGGCTTATTTTACGAACTTAGGTACCGACAACCGTCGTTATATCGGCGTCAATTCAGCTTGGGCTCATATTCATTGGGAATAAGAGTTGAGTGTCAGGGTGCTAGCTTCAACGGATTGGCGTTCCCGGTCATTACTTTTCGAATCTGTTGCTGACCATACGGGTTTTTGCAGAGCGGTTGACAGAGCGGCATTTTTTCGAGCACGCTTTAGCTTAGCGTTATTGCAATGAATGGTTGTTGCATTAATGCTTCAAAATATCATTACAATTTTAAAACAATATCAATAAATCAATATACTAACATTAATTTTTACGTGCGAGTATTTTCAGTTTCTTTTCGTGCGGTGTAATTCAAGGGAAACTTGAAAATATCTTCCTAATAAACAAAGTCGTTTCTTTTAAATATGTATATTTCAATACATTTTTATAATTAACTATAAGGTTCACATTCGTTCACATACGTAATAGTGAAAACTGTTTTTTTCGTAGACATATAATCAAGAAGTATTTGTCGAACAAATGGTCCTTTCTGAGAAGTGCATATTTCATTCTATTAAGCATGATAGGGTACGGGGTCAAACTCATTTTTTCAGATCTCATAAATAAAAATATTGGCATTGTCATAGACTTTATGAGCTCCATTCTTAAATGACGAATGAGTTGTTAGCAGAAATTCTGGTGACGGCATTGGTAGGGACAAGACTTTTTTTCCCTCCAATCTTCAATCCTTCGTCCTTCGTCAATCCTTAACTGGAAATCATTCTTCAAGGAGAAGGAGGAAACTTTTCGTAACACACCAGTTACCTTTTAAACCTGTGAGCAATCCATCATCTATACATTTATCCATAAATGTGCACGTTTTGCTTTGTCTGTTTCCTTTCTCCTGACTCCTGTGAGGTCCCTGATATGTACGTGGGAATCGAAATTGTATGTTCACGCACGTCTGCGACTACGAATATGAAATTCTTAGAAGCACAGGACTACACCAGAACCTTCGGGTGCGTTCTTAAGAATAATTTGTAGTTAATCACGTGTCGCAAAAAAACATGAGTAAAAGTTTGAATTATTCTTATTTTCTTCTTTACAATAAAAATAAATTTAAATAATTTCATTAAATGTAGCCTCTAATTAACATGTATTAAATAGTGTTACTTTCTAAAATATGGCCCATTCGTTTACATATATTCAGTTTTGTCTTTCCCGTAAAAAAAACTTTTTTTACAACTTGTAAAAATTGAAAAGTTAGAGTTAATTAAAATAAAATAATGCTCCATGAATAAAAATTTATTTTCAATTAACTTCTAAATTACAAACTAAAATCTATTTTACCCAACCGCAAAACTCAATTTGTGAATTATTATTATTATTATTTGAAAACTCTAATAATAATTAACATTGTGAATTGTTAATTCTAAAATGGGATAGCAATTTTAATGTTTATGTTTACATTATATATACAATTCTCGCCTCTTACATTTCTCTTTGGTTCTCTTCAAATCCTAATCGAATGGTGGTCCAGTGCTTCTAAGGATATGCTTATTCGTACCTTAATCCGCTACCCCTTGATGTACCAGCACTGGTCGTTGTTTGCAAGTGGAGAACAGACAATACCGCACCGAGTTGCTGTGTGTTAACCCGTTGACCCCGTCCTCGCTTCCATTGTGGCTCCTCGCGAGATCCCTTCGGCTGACGGTTGAGTCCGTTGAGTTCGTGTTGAGCGCAGAGTAGCAGCGTGACTAGAGCTTGTGCTTGTGCCAGTCCGGGACAGTCTTAAAATATGTCGCCATTCTCTTAAAAAGAAGGATTATCCATACTTCATGGCTTCGATTGAAATAAATGGTTTGCTGACTTTAATGCAAAGTTTAACAAATTAGGTTCCAAAGTTATTTGCAACTTATTTGTGGTGCCCTAGCTGATCTGTTTGTTTCAGTGCCGTACCGTAGCTACGCCCTTGGCGCACACTCCTATGTTCTGTTCGATATGCAAATTCCACCGACTGTGCTATGAGCGCCAATCGCGTTTCGAATGCTAGTTAATTATGAGCCAATATTCAGAATGAGAATCTTTTTTTCTCTATTCTCCTGTTCATAATACTAGCCACTAAGTTTGTGTCAAGTTATAACTAATTGTAAATGTTTTCATTATTAGTGATCATTAAATTTTAAGTAGGTCTCTGAATTTAGAACAGAAGATCGTTCAATATATCATGTTTAAATTCTTCAACTTACATTTAAATTCGGAAAGGAGTTATTCCTATTTGTTTCAGATTTCAAAAATATAGAAGAACCCATGTTTTTAAAAACAAAATGCTATATGTTATAAAAGATGTGGAGTATTTCTAAATAAGACCATGTTGAGAAGAGAAAGTAGAGGTGCATGGAACTATTCAAAATATGTACACAAACAATATGTAATACAAAACAGAGAAAACATTTGATTGTTTGAAAATAACGTTTTGTAGTGATTGATGTCTTACATTTTTAATTGATGCAATAAGGAGCAGTAATATGTGAAAAAATCCCATTTTGGGGATATTATGTCCAATTCAGTTATGTTTCCAGTATCTTTCTATAGATTTCCTTTATACTTTAGAGACAGTTCGTTAATAAGTTTTTTTATTAATTTCATTATTTTTCTTAATAATAACGTAATTCCGTTTGATGGTTACGAAAATTGAATATCGGATTTCTGGTGAATCAGTGGGGAAGCGGCAGCATGTTTTTCCTGCAGCATTGCTTTTCCCTACTAAAATATAAAACTTGAGTAACAGGACGTCATGTATTTCAGGATCAAATGTTCACCTCGTAGCAGTGGTACTTTCGAGTATGATGTGTCAGGGCATGTATATACACATTGAAAGAGTTTACGTTTCTTTAACACAAACAACGACAATTACTACTTTTTTTGTTAGTAAATTCGAGTCTTCTAGAGACTCTTATCTTAAATTTCAGCCGTTATTTGCAGATAATAGTTACTAGCACTAACAGAATTAGTTATAGTCTTAGTCACATCACGAATTTCACACTGATTAGCTGACTAATTTGCACTAAAAGAAGCTCCAGTGTAGCACTCTTAGTTTGTAGAAGTTTCGTTGTCACCTTTAGAGAGTGTAGATCCATTTATATTTATCAAAACTACGCACTATAGAACAATTAAAACATGTAATGTAGCATTAAATAGCTACAAAGTTAGTCATTATTAGACCAAACTGTTACACGTTCCGAAAAGAAGACGTAATATAATTCAATTTTAGAGCAGAAAATAACCTTAAACAGAAAGAATCTGTTCAAATGTAACGGGTGAAATCGTTAATACAGATTTTTGTTACTTTATCGCCGCAGATATGGACAAAACTAGGCTAACAGAAATCAATCACTTCACATCTTTGTTTTGTAAGATGTAAACTCCATTACAGAACTCAGCTACACAATATTTTACAACAGGACTCAAGCTTTAAGAACGAATATTATTTTTGTATTTATAATTACATTCAGATAATGAATGTTTTGTTTAACTATGTAATTAATATATCCATGGGAAAACGTCTGATATTAATCTTGTTCTTGTTTCGCACAAAACAACGATACAATTTTTGTTATGGTTTTATGAATCAATGAGAAATGATTACATAGAAAATTATAGTAAAAATTACTTTAATTAAATAACATATCTCCGAAATAAGATAATAGTGATACCTTCACTGCCACTTACAATGTTTTCTGAAATAATTTTAGTTGTTAAGGAGTTCGTAATATTCATGACAATTTTTAATAAGAAATAAATCCATGAAAACAAAAAACATCCCTTTTTAATTGAATTGTATCTTTTAGGTTTACGCAATTATATCAGCCTTGTTAGAGAAAAAATGAACGTATTATATATATGAAGAATATTCATGCTTTTAAATTGGACAGATGTCAGGATTATTGTGGAGTTTTTGTAACGTTCTGCGCCGTTTTTGTGGCGGCAGTTCTGAGGGCTTTTTGTCCATATCTCGGCTGCTCCCCCTCCCCTGCCACGGAGCGACCCCGCCGGGCGACGGGCTAACTCCTGACGTATCGTCTGTTCTCGTGGCGCCGAGCAGAAATTAACTGTGGACACCCCGGTCCGCTGTACAATGGTTGGATTGAGAACATAGAGTCCGGCACCGGGTTGGGGGCCAGCATTATCTTCCGCTGTCATGACGGCATGAAGCTGGAAGGCAACACCTCGTCCGTGTGCCAGATCGATGGGCGCTGGCGGTACCCGCTGCCCAAGTGCCTAGGTAATGGACCATGCTGACTGGCGTCGCAGCGACAGCTTGCCATGATACTCGCCATGGAACATCCTGGCACCTAGAACCCCATGCTTTCCTCCGCCCCCTCCCTTCCAATCCGCCTCGATCGTCCCATGGCTCCCCCTCCCCGCCCCTCCCCGTCACGCCTCGCATCGCTTTCCCAATCTCGTTCCACTTGAACGCCATGTTCTTCGAGTGATCTCAGTACTTGTACAATGTTTCCCAAACTATAAACGACTGTCGTGCAAGTGAATAACGTGAAAATGTCATTCAGTTGTTCAAATTTGATTGAATATTGAATCGTTTTCATTTTCACTGTATGTTTTACAATTCGCGGTATACGTTTAACACAGAATACTATTTAGACAGTGTCAAATAGAACGTTTGGTTTGTTAAAGTAAAAACTTAACTTCCTTCTAAAGTTATTTATACTCGTCAAAGATGCAAACAAATTATACGACACTACCTTATTATAATTATTTTTATTATAACTATTATTGTTATTAATGATAATAACAATATTATTTTAAATATCATTCAGTCAGTAAATAGAACTTGTTTTGATATATTTGTAATTTATACATTTCACGCTTATGGTGAATATGTGTCTATAAATACTGAATTAGATTTCATTGGACTTTCGTGAGAAAAAGCTAATTGAATCCTGATTTCAAATAACCATGGTCAAATGTTTTCAGTTTATAATTATGATTCATATTAAGTAACTTTTGTCATTATTGATTTACACAGGATGAGTCATTTTTGGTGTGGAAAGCAACTCACCGGCACGTTCTTCACAGAGAAATGATCAAAGTAGTATTTCTTATGTAATTTTCGTGAGACACTATCCGAGAAGCTTCGTTACTGCAGCAGCAGTTTCTCAATTACTCTGTTGTTCCAAAACGTACAGAAAGTACGTCTTTACGGGGAGTCAAATCGGAATTGTTCACCGAAGAGGAAATCTACTTTGTGCGGCTACAAACAACTAAATACGCTTTGTGACTGGTTATATAGGGCGGGGGTGCGTTACATTTCTGGATGAACCTGAGCGCAACAAGAGTCTGTTAATGTCTCTTGCGATCTAAGTTCAGGAATTGCCGGACGAATTTTAAAGAACTCCGGAGTCTTATCTGCAGTGCTTTGTGTCTCGGAAAAGGGTTTTTTTCTTCTTTTGTACGCGATCTTCCTTTAAGATACATGCTGCAACAAAATTCGAAAATCACTCAAAACACTTTATATTCACAAGAACAAAATCATTAATATTGCATTAATGGAATAAAACGGAATTTAATTATCTTGATTTTTTACATCGGAAATGACTTGCCTGCAAAATTAATCATATCCGATCATGAGTTTTCAAAAAGACCAATTTTTACTTTATGTATTTGAAATATGGATACCACTTCAATATTGTCACTAATGTTAAAACATTTCTGTTTGTTTTCATCCTGAATACCTATTAGTTATTTTCTTATCTCTCGATACTGTAATTTGGGAAACATTTACTTTACACTGACTTCACATACTAAAGTTACCACAGACACTGTCTTGTCGTTTCTACGATTTACTTAATTTCATCTTGTTGGCTCAGAAGATTTGTTAAAATTAAATTAAATAGATGCCTAATTTTTAACCACAACACTGAGATTTTAAACAAATAGCAGTTTTCATTATATTCTTGAAAATTCTGAGCATACAAGATGAAAACTGCATGTATATTTTAGAAAATATAGAATACACAGGTAAAACACTTAATCTAATTATTTGCCCATCAATCTTTAATTAAAGATTTAATGTTTTAGAATATGAGTTGAAATCCTTGAAAATTATGTCATAGAATAGAGCAGATATGACGAATATATTTTTTATTGCCTCGAAACATAAAATTTACTCTTAACTCATTGAATCACTTCAGCTTCCATGAAGATCTATTCTTCTTCTTCTTCAAGAACAGCCACCCCAAAAGAAATTTCTTTTTTACGAGAAAATCTCTGTTTAAGACTATACAATTAACTTTCCTTTCGCTTCTTTGCTTTCCTAAAGTGTAAAGAATTTCTCATCTTATGCCCCGATGGGTCGCTACGACAACAAAAGACTTTTTTCTTTCAGACTTTCTTCGCAAAAGAATTATTGTGGGGTTAAGACTTCACGCTTCATAGTTCATTTACTTCTTCCTTTTTTTCTGAATGTATCTTCCTTAAAATATCATCTGTACTGGAATTGTGGTGTATTTTCTAGGTTCCCTTGTATTTTTCAATCACAAATGTTACTGCATATTAATACGACACACGTTAATACTTCGAAACAAATCGTAACATTAAACGAAGCGTTATCTTAAATTAAACACATTATTTTATTATCAGGTATAATTAAAAAGTCTTTCTTTAACTTTATCACGCATCATTCGAAAGAGAGATAAATTGTTGCGAAATTACATAAATAATATAAAATATTAAATTTTCTTCTTTGGGAAAAATATTTTAAGTAAAAACGCAATATCTATTTTATTTTATATAATCCTTATAAGCAGCACAACTCTTTCCTTCGATGACTCTGCCTTTGAAAGTAAAAAACCTAATTTCTATGTATTTTAAAACTTACGTTTAGACAAGAGTTTTCCTAAACAATGGTTTCCGTTTCTTAAAAGTGTATAAAAATCGTGGGTTTAGAACTTTTGTTATTATAAGTATTTTTATTTATATACGAATATATTGTCTGGAAGATAGAATCGGTATCACATCCAAGAGTAGCAAATCTCTCTTCAAAAGCAAGGAAATCTTTATTTGATGATTCTATCTCCAATCCCGTTTAAGAAATTTGTATTAAAATTACGCATTAAACGTAGTACGGTACATGGCCGGAGCAGATGCCTCCTCTGGGGCTTTTGAGGGACAAATTCCAACACGTGGCAGGTACTGAGCGGTTGGTGCGTGAATGTTTAATAACTTCGCGATGGATGACACAGAAGTTGTTATTTGGACGGCCATTTAAACTGTGCTCAGGGGTGGGCTAATGAGTTAAGTATGTACAGCAGAGTCGCTTTGAAAGGGTCCCTTTTTCGACCGCTTCGCACCCTCCCTAAAGCTGACATGGTCATTCAAAACGTACCGCCTTCCATTACGAAGATCGAGATCGTTTACTGTTAAATTACGCTAACAAAAAATCGAATAATTTGTGAACTACGCATGGCCGCACTATGTTCTACAACTATAAGTACCAATTTGACTTTTGTTTTCATATTTTTAGGCATTAACGTTCAAGCTAGATATATCTAACTAAAACACGTAACAAACGTGACGATGAGTGAATAAATCCTTGTTTTGGCAGTAAATTCTTGTTTTAGCATAAAATATATGTGTGCATTGATACGAGAGCAGGACAGTTTGTTTCAATGCATCCAAACTTTTAATTCTTCGATATCATTTTCGAATGAAAGAAACGTTAGTGAAACAAATTGAAAGTGACTCTGCTGTGTATTCAAACCTCAAATATTGGTCAGGCACATAAAGAATTTTATAAGTTAATTGGTGGACCCATTCGGTAATATTTAGTATGTAAGTATTAGTATGAAAGTTATAGGATCAACGATTATGCTCGGTTTGAACAAAATGACTATCATTAATACTCCACTTCCCTATACTTCAATGAGCATGTCAGCTATTTTCAAATTTTATCAAGTTTCTTAATTGTGTTTGTGCACGTCATCTACTTTATTATACGCTTACATCTATTACAGCTTCTTTACTCCATGCTAATATCGTACCATGCGTCGTAGTCTTCATAAATAATTTCTTTTCAAATATAAGTTGTGTTATCAATGGATTTGCTGCAGCCTGCTTCTAGTACTTCTTTGTTGAATATTCAAATGCTTCCGTATACTTGAATAACATAATACTGCAGTTTTCTGTTGGAAATATTTCAGTTGTTATGGCTTCTTCTTCTTCTCTTCTTTCTCCTTCATTTTTGAGTATTTTCGGAAGGACGTCATCTAGATAATTACATAATTCTGTGGTCCATTTTTCTCTACAAACTGTAGATATATGTATTATATACTAACGACCCCTCAAGTAAAAGTTGCGTACTTAGTGCACGAAATGTACTGACGTCCTTTCTTTTTAGGGGTGGTTGATTTTTATAACATATCCCTTTCACGTAAAATTCAAATTCCTTACAGCATGAACAAACATTGGTCTATTTTTGAACAAGAACGCATGCAATCAACAAGTTGTAACTTATTAATTTTGAAAACATTAGTTAAAATGTACATGTGTCACTATCGTCGAATTTTGCATTTTTTGCTAGTATATGTATTCCTTAAATACGTGATTGCTCATTTGTATACATATAATGAATTCATGAGCCTGCTTCTCGTTTTCCATCATCCGAAATGAAACAGGTTCATGAACACATCTCCTACAGCCAATGGGGTAAATATACGACAACACTTCAAAATTTACCCAAAATATTTTAATCTATCAGAGTACATAAAATCGGTTGTTGTTGTTTTGTTTTCATTATATCAATTAATGTTGCTTTTAAAATCTCACGCAAGAAAGTGCACTAGCTGACTCTAATCGAGAAAATGAGGTTCAAAACAACAAAATTGTGTTCCGGTCGTCATTTTACTCCATTACCCCGTGCTGTACGTCGCGTTTTCCCCTCGTGACGCACCGCCGCGCGAGCCGGCAGGACCCGCCGCCCAGCCGCGCGAGGCGGCCCGAGCTAACACGCGCGCGCGCGCGCTCCAGCCCCGTGCGTGGTGCCGGGAGTGAAGCAGGGCAGCGTGCACCTGCTGTCGGCGGCGGCCGGCGACAAGGAGGCGGCGCGCGAGCCCATCAAGGAACTGCCCATGGTGGTGCCGCACGGCGAGAAGCTGGCGGTGGAGTGCCAGCCGCACTACGAGTTCCCGGGCAACCACACGCCCGTCGTGTGCAACAACGGCACGTGGACGCACATCCCCCGCTGCGAGCCAGGTACGTCGCGCCGGGCGGGCGACCCCGCGCGCGCCGCAGCGCCCCCGCCGGGCGGACGCCGACTGCGTCCCGCGATCGACTTTCGAGGGCGTTCACACTGCCTCCATAATAAGGCATAGTCCGACTGCATCCCGTTCTGATTTCCGAAACGTTTCCGAAACCGTTTACCTTCCTCCCCTCAAAGGCATAGTCCGACTGCATCCCGTTCTGATTTCCGAAACGTTTCCGAAACCGTTTACCTTCCTGCCCAAAAAGGCATAATCCGACTGCATCCCGTTTTGTTTTCCGAAACGTTTTCGAAGCCGTTTTCCTTCCTTCCCAAAAGGTATAATACGACTGCATCCCGTTCTACTTTCCCAAGCTTTTCCGAAGCCGTTTACCTTCCTCCCCAAAAAGACATATTCCGCTTGCATTCCGTTGTTTTCCGAAGCTCTTCACCTTCCTCCCCAAAAAGGCATAGTCCGACTGCATCCCCTTCTGTTTTCCGAAGCGCTTCCGAAGCCGATTACCTACCTCCCCCAAAAGGCATAATCCGACTGCATCCCGTTCTGTTTTCTCAAGCAGTTCACCTATCTCCCCCAAAAGACATAGTCCCAATTCGTCTCGACTGGTGCGAGAACTTCTACAAGGGCTACTTATGACAGCAAACTTAATTAAAATGTTTACTCTTTCCGAAACACTGGATGAATGAAAACAAAAAATCTTTACTCTTTACTTTACTAAAATGTTTACTCTTTCCGAAACACTGGATGAACGAAGGGTATGGAGTCGGACTATGCCTTCTCAGGTAACGAAAAGTGAAAGGATTAGCTGAGGAGCGACGGTGAAGGAAAACTCACCGCGGGATGCAGTCGGGCGACCCCTCCCCACCCTATCGCGAATCTTGGAACTGATTGCAAACACTCGGAAAACTACTTCACATTAGATTACTTTGGAGCAGAAACTTGTATATCGGCCCCAAGTCGAATCAATTCACCACAAATCAAAGACCGTCCCCACGGTTTCCCGATTGTAAAGTAAAGTTTGTTCATCAATTCTTATTTTTTGTAATTTTTCTTTGATCAGTCGAAGTTTTCACGAAACCCTATTCCAACAAATGTTTTATTATTCTATTGCATAAATGATTCTACTGTCATCTTTATCATCTATCATGATCATAAATTATTCTAATATTCTATTGCCTGAAAGTCCTCCATAAAAAGTGAAGTATAAAAAATAGAGTACAATGCAGAGGCTAAAAAAATTGTTTGAAAACATCACAAGGGAAAGTAGTACCTGACTATCATGTCCCGATATATAACACTCCCGTGATGTACAACTATTTACACTCATTCCCTGCGACCTGCAGATGGAAGTAATATTGCTCCTCATTGCAAAATAACATGGAATAATGTCATCTGTTTTGTCATGTTGGAACATCATTTTTATGTAAATAATTTTTGTATGCGTCTTTTGCGGTTTTTAACGTCGATACGTACGTTTGTTCCAACTAAAACTTATTTAAGTTATGAACCTCTACTCTGTTTCATGCATTAAAAGAAGGTCTTAGGGAAAGTGCTTTTTTTTAAATTGTTGTTATTGTATTACTTACTTTTGATATTACAAATTCCCAATTCATAATTCATTGATGGAAGAAATTTAACATTTCTGTTAAAATGGATATATCACTGCGTTTTATCAAACGATTTGATGAAATACTGTTTATTTTTTGCCCAATTAACAGCATTTAAATTCTTCTAAATGGGAACACATTAATTATTGTGATGACCAGCTTGATTTTAAGTTAGCTTTTCATTAATTACATCGAAATTTGAGAAGTAATTAAAATAATATTTAGTTGAAACAATCGCTCCCTCCTTCAATCGCCTTAATCTGAACTCTCTAACCTTGCTGATTTCTCAGATTACTATCTATTTTGAATCTATGTTCGCTTTCTCTGATGCTCTGACATGAGGGAAGTCATGCAAAGAACTCAAATGTTAGGATAATTAACCCGATGTTTCGAAAAATTTCCCCCAAAACAATTCACATCACGAAGAAATAATATTCGTAAGGTATGTTTCTGCCTTCAATCGTAACCTCCAACTCCTGAAGAGATTTTTCTGGTCTGTTTATGAGCAGTTCCAAGACAAGTTGCGGGATTATAAAAGAGCATTTTACTGTGTCACCTGCGTTTAGCCAGATTGTTGTCTTAAAAAGATACAAATACAAAGATACAAAAAGATAATTTTCTTATCTGTTGACGTGATTTCTTCGTCGTTCGAGTTGATAGGTGACTCAATTACAAAAATGTCAATTTTTTATTATTGAATTCAATTTACAAATACATTAGATGACTTTTTCTGTAAAAGCTTTTCTTGTGCAGGAAAATATATTTTTCAAATTAAAAAATAAGACTTTTTTAAGACCCTGTCTAGTGTAGCTATATTGAAGGTTGCAATGGTCTAATGCAATATATAAACAAATTAAGTATTCTCTTCTTAAATATTTGTAACGTTAAACTACTTGTGACTAAAATTAATTGAAAATTATTTAATGAAAAAAGATTAGACTTCCTTTACATTCAAAAGCAACATATGTAGAAATATGTTTTAATTAAAATATTTCTTGAAATATTTTCCTTGTGTACCATGTTAATTGCTAGATGTATTGTTTTATAAATTATTATTTTCTGACTGTTTAACTAATTTAATGACTGATAATGATTGAATTAATATTGTTAGTGTGGACTGAATGAGTTGTATTCGCAGAGATTCCAATGTTCTGTGTTTATTTCCCCTACGATTAAAATCTTCTTGGAACTGTCTTAAACCTTACTTCACTTACTACTTTCCTTCACAGATGCTAACACTTGATTTTACTGTAAAAAAGTTGAGTTTGTGTCTTCCTTACGTTACTGTCTTCATGAATATAATTTACATCCACTTAACAAAATGTCATCTGTCGTGAAAACGATGAATGAAGAAGAATAAAAGGTTCTCGAAGTAGGAAACAAAATAATGAAGATTAAAACAAAAATGTTTTCTGTTAACGGTGATACGTCGATCGTTTTGTTTCGTGTATCCGCTCTTTTGAAGCTTTGTAGTTGGGTATTTTTGAGACAGTTCAGAGTTAATTTTACTTATTGAGCTTGTTTTCCAGAATTTCAAATTTACGTGAATTAATTTAGTTTATAACTATCTCAAACGAATTTTACTATTATTTTTTTTAATCACAAATACTTTGTAATACTTTCTGATTGTTTTATTTTGTAAACAAAAAGAAATGTGATCATAGTTTCACAAATATTAAACTATTCAAAAGAACACAAAATTGTTGAGAGAGTTTATTCTGTCAGATACAAGAAGATACATTACGAATTTCTTAGACACCACAATCGAGTTTTAACAAACTATTGGGACATGAACTTTCTACATGAGTATATAAGTGCTTCTCATATTTTAAAGGGATATAACTATCACCACAGTTAATGACAAATTTACATGCGACCATCAGTTACCGTATAGAAGATGTTCCCGGCAGAACCAAACAAGATGGATTGTAACTGAACGAACCTTTCCTTCGAAATACAGCAGTCTTTAACTGTGCAAATGACAAGTATTTAGAAAGAGCTGTATAAATTTTTAAGATGAAGATTAATAAAGTACTCTACATTATCAGGCTATTCAAAAAGGAAGATTGGAAGCAAAAGTAAGAAATGTTCATACTACAGAAAGTGCAGAAGAAAAGTGGCTCTATAAACTGCTTTTGAGGCAGCAGAGCTGGGCGCAGTTGTTCATCATGAAACTGTGTGAGTTGTGCTAAGAAGGATCGCCTACTACAATCCGACTAGCAAGGCGAAATCCGTTCAAAAGTCAGGCTAATCAAGGGAAGAGAACAGAATTCGAGAAGTAGCACACTCAGAAAGATCAGAAATAGTGTATCTACTTAATTTATGCGGAAAAAAGTTCAGCTTATTCAACTTGTTGGATTAAGATGGTAGAACTATAGTGTGGCGATGGCGTGGTATAATGTGATGGTGGGGGTGCATGGCATCGAACGAGTGGGTACAGGGGCACTCGGACAAACCAAGATGACAGTAGATCCACTTTATTTTATTACTTCAAGCAAAAATGTATACTTTTAACATATCTCGGCTTTCTCCAATACATAAACAGAATTAATTTCTCCATGCAATAGAAATAATTTGCATTTAATTTGAATGAGAACTAAATACATTTTTATGGCGGAAAATCATTTCATTTAAGAAGGGGCCTGCCACCCCCCTTCCTGACGCTCCAGAGTAGATGAACTTGTGTTATAAGAACTTACTATAGACAAACACATTGTGGCAATGCGATCTTGAAGAGGTTGATGTAAGAATGGACTGCCCTGCCCTGCCAGCTGCCAGACTGACTGAAGAAAGTGTGCGTGGCAAAAAGCAGGGCAATACGATTTTATGTTCTTGTTTTTTATTCATTAATTATATTTAGAATCCCAATAATTTTGTTGTAGATAAAACGGTGTGCTTTGTTTTCAGCTGACTCTGTAGTTTATTCTTTGTATTGGATTTGTCCAAATGAAATGGCCAATTTTATAATTTTTAATTTCTCGCCTCAAGAAATTACTTTTTCTTACTGCAGATATCTCTGCAAATATTCTGTGTGTAAATATACGTGTCCCACACAGTTCACAGTGTTCGCAACCACAGTTTTCTATTAACGTTTAATGTGAACACCGTGTTACAGAGCTAACGTTGTTACTGATGGGAAAAAACGTTCGTGTAATTTGATTACTTGCACGAGTTCAAACTCAATCGCACTGCATCCGAGGCATCACCTAACACTATTGTGGCGTTTTATGAAGATACAAAAAGTGGAAGAAAGACAAGAAAACGATTGGAAGAGATTCGTTCTTGGAACAATATTTAAACAATTTGCCTTGCAAGCATGAATGACTTTATTTTAAAAAATGTGGTAGAATAAAAATCCAAGATCTACAGTTCGAGAGATCGCTGAGAAAATTAGAGCAAGTTACTCAATTGTCGTTCGACATTTCAACCAATGAGGAAAAGTCAAAAAGATGGATAAATGTATTCCTCATTACCTCCCAGAAACAGGATGAGACAGTTGGATATCTACTATTCTCGACTTTTACGTCGGAAGAGACAAGTATTTTTACCCAGGATTGTCATATGTGATGAAAAGAATCCTTTATGACATCCCCCAACGTTTTACACTGTGACTGGTTGCAAATAGGCTCCAAACGTATGTCAAAGCCAAGTATTCATCTCGAAAAAGATTATGGTGTCCTTGTGGTAGTCTAGCAAAGGTAGTGTGCAGTATACCTATACTAAACAAGGAGAAGTCAATAATTCCGACAAATAATGCTGCGAAATCAAAAATAAACGCAGAAAACTGACCACTAAACAGCCACCAATAGTTAATAGGTATGGCGTTTTGCTCTTACATGACAGCGCCAGACCTCACGTGGAAAAAAAATTGAAAGGTTCATATTGAGAAATGAAATTCTTCCTCATCCTCTGTATTACCCAGAAATCTCTCCAACAGATTATCACCGCTTTCGACATTTGTGTGTATTTTTGGCGGAACTTCAAAGAGGCAACAATTAAAAACCAATTTATAAAATGTGTCGACTCACGATCCCCAGATTTTTTCAAAATGGAATTTCTGCACTTGCATCACTTTGGTAGTGTGTGAAAGTGAATGGAAATTATTTCAATTGAATGGGTAATTTTTAGTAAGATGTATTGCAATAGTTTATACAGAAATTAAGATATATATTTTGTTGTGCTGTGCGTTATGATTATTTTGAGAACATGCCTTTACGTTTCTTCTTTTCTGTATTTGTCGTATAGAGATAAACAAACCTTGTTTAGTATTTTGTCCAATTTTTTTTATTAGCCAAATAACGAATAGTGCTGTATTTGATTTAACTAATTCGTTTAATAATTACGTAGCTGTTGCTAACGTATAGAAATATTGATTCAGCGCGTGATCATAAATCTGAAATACGGATGTTATTGTGCTTCATGCTGTTAACCCCTCAAGCACACTGGCTAAGTGGTGAAGTCTGCAAGGAACTAAGAAAAACTGCACGCATGGGCTCAAGCCTACTTTACGCCTGCATTCAATTCTAAACATAGATGATTACAAATATTTTCTCGCAGATTGAAAACAAAAACCGTGAGCATATAGTAGAAATGCTGTATGACTATACTAAACAGCGTGCGAGAAAAAAAGAATCTCTAACTGGAATTTTCCAATATTAGATTGACGGTATTTTCCTCGGTAGAAAAAAATAACTCAAGTATATTTGTTTAAATAGTTTTATAGGTTGATCTTAAACAGTTCGTGCAGAGGATTTTGAGTTTGCGGGAAATAATATGTAGGTATGCGCTGTAGGAACAGTCATTCGAAAATGCTGATCAAGGTCAAGTTGCTACGCACAAAATTCCTCTTTTATTCCTGCGCCTTAGCTGACATTGGCGGTGTTATAGACTGATCCAGTTTCCGGCCACACCACCATTCAGATTGCTATACTTTCGGAAGAAACGCGATTACTGGGGGAGGCCAGCCAAACATAAAAGCCCGCGATAAGAATTTTGCAGCGCGGAAAATTTAAAATTGAGTAATTAATAATTCTACAATTCGGAAATTTTAAAATTGAATTTTTAAATAATTCTGCAATTCGAAAAATTTAAAATTGAATTTTTAAATAATTCTGCAATTCGGAAAATTTAAAATTGAGTTATTAATAATTCTGCAATTCGGAAAATCTAAAATTGAGTTATTAATGATTCTGCAATTCGGAAAATTTAAAGTTGAGTAATTAATAACTTTTAAATTCGTAAAATTTAAAATTGAGTTATTAATAATTCTGCAATTCGGAAAATTTAAAATTGAGGTATTAATAATTCTGCAATTCGAAAAATTTAAAATTGAGTTGTTAATAATTCTGCAATTCGTAAAATTTAAAGTTGAGTAATTAATACCTTTTAAATTCGTAAAATTTAAAGTTGAGTAATTAATAACTTTTAAATTTGTAAAATTTAAAATTGAGTTGTTAATTATTCTGCAATTCGGAAAATTTAAAATTGAGATATTAATAATTCTGCAATTCGTAAAATTTAAAGTTAAGGAATTAATAACTTTTAAATTCGTAAAATTTAAAGTTGAGCAATCAATTTAGAGTTGAGTAGTTGAGCGTGCCGCGTCCTGGCGTGAGGAGGTGCGGGTGGGTGCGGGAGGTGGGCTTGACCTTGCGCAGCATCGCATGAGCGCGCCCCGCCCCCCTTGCAGCGCGCTGCAAGCGCATGCCGCGGGCGCCGCGCAACGGCATGGTGATCGCGCCCAAGACGGAGCACGGCATGCGCGCGCGCTTCAAGTGCAAGGACGGCTACACGCTGCGCGGCCCCAACGTCACCGAGTGCAGCTACGGCAACTGGACCGCCGACATGCCCTACTGCCAAGAGGGTG